AAACTCAGGTACAAAGTCACTAAACGGGAGCTCATTAGTAAATCTGATGTGGTCTTAACAAATCCAAGGAATTGCTTGATGGCTTCAGAAAGCCAGTGTTCCTTTGTCAGGCATTTCTTTACACTATTGATCTCACTGGCTTGTTCACTGCCAGGCGGGAGTGAGTCACAGCCACTCAATTTGAATCTGGTCTTTGTCAGATCGGCTCCCGTATTCACTTGTGCTTCCCGTAGCGTAGCACATGGCATGATATAAATAGAGTTACCAGGGTCTCAGGCTTTAGAGTTCCTTCTCAGGAGTTCACGTTAAAGCCTGGGAGCCATCAACCAGCCCACATGTTCCATGGCCTCTTCTAAACCATCTGCTCCTGGTATCTTATGGCACAGACCAACCAGAGAGACTCAGCAATCAGACACTCAGAGGTCATTTCGGGGGGGATCGCAGTTCCCCTGGGTGAGGTACGGGGGCGGGGCACATGACAAAGCCCCGCCCCCTGCTTCCAGCCGCCCCGCTTCTGGCCCTCATTCAGCCAGGAGGAGGCAGGAGAAGAGGGAGGGTAAGTTGCTTCCTCCCTGCCTCTCCCCACCCCTGCCTGCCTGGGGCCAGGGAGGGCCTTTGCGGGGCTTCCTTGCACTCCCGCCGGCCTTGCAGGTCCACCACCAGGCCCCTCATGGGGCTCAGCAGTGGAGCTGCAAGGCTGGCAGCGGCCAGGACCGTTGGGGGCTGGGTGTGTGGCCTTATGACACACTTCCGGTGATGTCAGGGGGTGTGGCCTTATGACACACTTCTGGTGATGTCAGGGGGTGTGGCATATGCTAATGAGTTATGCTAATGAGTTCCCCTAACTCTTTTTCTACGAAACGACCCCTGCTGACACTCACAGCTCAGTTACATCAGATCTCAGAAGCTTATCAGGGTTAACCTTGATAAACCTCAGGGGCCACCCTAAAGTCAGCTGCAACTTGAGGGTACTTTCTACCACCACTCAGTCCATCCCTACTGTGAATGGGTGACAGGAAGCCCACCCAAATCCTTATACATCCACTGCATCATCATATGTGGAAAGTGAAATTCTGTCATTGCCAAATCATTGCCCAGAGAGCTTAAAGTTTTACACATCATCTGCAGGTGGGGAAGGATCCAGCACAGGTGCAACACGCTGTATGACCACAGATTATTTAATTATATGAACCAGCCTTATGCTGCTTGTGCTGTCTAGCTCTGTCTTGTCTGCTTTGAGGGGCAGAAACTCTCCAGGCAGAGAATTGTCTTTCCTATCACCTGTTAAAGACACCCTTTAACTTGAGATGCCTGACTGAACATGGGCATGACAGCCAATCCCTGGGGGAGGGGTGATAATGCCCACTATATAAAAGACAAAAATTAAAAGTCTTGGGGGGGGGGGAATAAGAATATTAGAAAGAGAGAGAAAATTGGGGGGAAAGAAAAAGAAAAATTTGAAGAAACATACCAATAAAGCTTTCAAAATCTCTCAATGACAAAGAATAATACAGTTAGGTAAAGGTAAAGGTTCCCTTGCTCGAAAGCCAGTTGAGTCCGACTCTAGGGTTGCGGTGCTCATCTCCGTTTCAAAGCCGAAGAGCCAGCGCTGTCCGAAGACGTTTCCGTGGTCATGTGGCCGAAATGACTAAACACCAAGGCGCACGGAACGCTGTTACCTTCCCACCGAAGCGGTACCTATTTATCTATTTGCAATTTCTTGCTTTCGAACTGCTAGGTTGGCAGGAGCTGGAACTAGAGATGGGAGCTCACTCCATCATGCGGCACCCGGGTCTCGAACTGCTGAACTACTGACCTTCCACAGCCTGAAGTTCAGCGTCTTAACCACTTGATACTAAATTTAAAGTACGACTATTTACTCTAAAATTATAACAAAATTACATAACTCTTCTTTCTTTTCTGTCATTTAAAATTCTCCTTAGCTATCAGACCCACAAGCTATCAATTCATTATATCGAAGATATAAATATATTATTTTCCCTTTCATGCAATAAGTCGATAAGGGGCTTCCAGTTAGCAATAAATGTAGATGTTGTCTTTTCTTTAACCAGTGAGGTGAGTTTAGCCATCTCTGCAAGTTCCAACATCTTGAAGGAGAACCTAATACTTCTTAAAGACAAGCAGGCATGGACTGGATTGATGTCCGGATGGGAGAGATCCCACATTATAAATTGCACTGCTGTTTGAACTCTTGCACTGTAGCCCTAGGGGCTATGTGGATTCTGCCCATAGTTCTCTACAGTAACCCCAGTGTCGTTCTCCTTGTGGGGCAGCGGTCAGTATGTCAGACTAGGATCTAGAAGACACCCCCCCCCCATATGAAACCACCTCCATGAGGCTTCTGGATGATTTTAGGATGGCCAGTCTCTTTCTCTCTCTTGCACAGCTTCACCTATTTCACTGGGTTGTTTAGTAGCCAACAGTATATGCTCTGCTGGACATTAGAATGCTATTCGTTTCTCTTTTGAGTGGCACAGACGGAAACACATCACTCTTAGCGTGTTCTGATGTGCTCGTCGTGACTCTTTGCATGCCAAGGCTTGATGCCGGTTTTGTGGATTTTTTTTTTTGCCAACGAGTCATAGCTGACTTATGGTGACCCCTAGTGGCGTTTTTCAAGGCAAGAGATGTTCAGAGGTGCTTCGCGATGGCCTGCCTCCACGTCACGACCCTGGTATTCCTTGGTGGTCTCCCATCCAAGAACTAACCAGGATCAACCCTGCTTAGCTGCTGAGATCTGACAAGATCAGGCTAGCCTGGGGTTACCCGGTCAAGGCTTGATGCCTATAGACTCCCCGCCCCCCCCCGGGTATTACATGTTTATTTATTTACTACGTTTATACCCAGCCTTTCTTCCCGACAGGGATCCACAGCAGCCTATATCATTCCCCTCTCCTCCATTTTACACACTGATAATAGCCCTATTCACAAGTTACAACAAACACACATACAATTCCCGTACAGTGTATATTTAATTTTTCTTTCTATATGTGTTGAGTAATTATCATGATACATTCAATGCATGTGCAACTGAACATGACGTTGAAACCACACTTTTATCCAGATACTGGTCCCTGCAATGTTCAGTAGTCGTTTCATGTGTTGTTTTCATTTCAGCATTCTAGCATCTGGAGCGGTTCCAGGTTTTACTCACATCTCTGGATAAGCTGGCTAGAGAAACTGCCCTGACAGAGTCTGGTAGGCCTTCTGTGTTTTTTTATCCATTTCTCCTTAATAAAGCTACTATATATTATTTATTACAAAGACTATCAGCAGCTTCCTGGATGACAGCTGACCGTCTCGTTTCTTTTGACAAGTGAGCACTTGTTGGCCCTTCCTTACAAACAGATGTATGCACGTACGTACATGCAGGCTGTCCATGCGTTCACTATGATGTGTGAAGCTACAGGCAGCTCTGAGCCTGGTGTACACTGCATCCAACAGCTGTGCAATTGAATGTTGCTGATGTGCACTGGTTAACCTGGCTTGCTCTGGCTTCTACCATTAGTCAACCCAACAAAGCAGTTTCCTCTTCTGATTAAAAAACTCCAACACTTAAAAAAATTATTCTGTCTTACAATAGGTCCAGCCTTGCTTCAACCCAGGCACCTCCAGCAGAATCTGGATCGATATTTACGGGGGTCAGGGGCAATGTTCCCTCTAAACTGTGCAGTCTTCTGAGCAAAAACTCTACTTTGTGAGCTACTGGCATTAAAGTTCTGAGCGAGTGATTTGGCTACTGCATCAATTAGCTTGCTCTGGAGCCCTCCTTCCTGGGCTAAGGCAAAAATCTGTGAGCTGGAGGCTAAAGAACTGTGAGCAAGCTCACACTTACTCAGCTTAGAGGGAAAACTGGTCAGGGGTCAGGAGCCAACTCATTAAGGAGGCAACCTCAGGCAGCCTCCTCAGGAGGTAGATTTGAAGAACCTCCCATCCTGGCCAACCATCTGCCCTACTGCCTGCCTCCCCCACCTCCACTCTCGGGTTGCCAACCTCCAGCTGTGGCCTGGAGCACTCCTGGTATCATAACTGATCTCCAGTCAACAGAGGTTGGCTCTCCTAGAGAAAATGGCTACTTTGGCACGTGG